CCTATGTCGGGGGCACCGAGAATGCGACGTCCCATGGCCACATCAGAGTAAAGTTGAGAATTAGGGCTGCTTGAGGGGTATACGGTATAGGGTTTAGGGTTTAGGGGTTCAGGGTTTAGGGTTTAAATAGGGTATAGTCTACACTCCTTAAAAGGGGGCTCTTCTGGGTTTAGGGCTTGTAGGGTCCAAACTCCATAAAGGGGCAGGGGTTATCAGGGGGGATGCTCGGAGTTTGTATCTTAGGTATGCAACTAGCCCCATGTAGGAAGTATTTACAGACTTCTGGGCCCAATGCAGCTATTGTTGTATACTTGGGTCCTTGAGGGAATCTAGTACATTTTCTGGATACCAAAAATCCTGCATGATCCTAAGTACCTTAAACCCGGGGAATTATGGTACAAACGTATACAAGGGTCATGCAGGATTATTAGTATCAACAATAGTACATGTTCTGACTTCTGCGTGGAGAATGTGGCAAGGAATCGCCTCCTCAGCCGAAGCGTTGAAACTGTTTCTGCGTATTTCCCTAAATAGAGGCTATTGAGACCCCAAAAGAAGGTGAATGACCGAAAGCCAACTGAAAACTGTCAAAAGGTCATTGTTCTACATACTTTTGGGTGCAGGTCAGGACTAGAGCCCAACGAAACAAGGCCAACTATTTCCACGCCTCGTCCCCGAGAAGCCTCTGATCATGAGGCTTGCAGGGCCACAGAAGCATAAGGCTTCGTATACAAATTTCATATACTTTGGTGTCCTTAAGGGAGTAATGATTACTTAGGTTCATGGGAGTCTAGGGTAAGGGCCGTCCCAACGACACACCACAGACGTTGAACCCTAGACCCTCAATCCAAAGCTACCCCAAACTGCGTAGACCTTATAGTGCTGAGGCAATAGCCTGTCTCAAGAGAGTTCCCATATTTTTGAAAGTTAAGCCAAAAGCTTTCGGGTTTAGGGTTTGGAGTTTAGGGTTTAGGGTATGGAATTTAGGGTTTAGGGTTCATGCACCTAATAGTTGAGTACTTGGGGCTTTTGGTGCTAGTCATTGTGGTACAGGAATTGGGCACTTGGAACCTTGGTATCATCCTGATGGAAGCAATCCCTTAATTCCCGGACCTAAACCCTAAACCCAACCCAATCCCCTAAAGCTTCACCCCCCCCCACCCCCTGTCGTTCCCTTCTTTTTTGGCTGTGTTTGGGTCTAGTGACTGGGGCTTTATGGCTCAGGGTCTTGGATTTTGTTGAATTTTGAGCAATAGCCTGTGGCACATGGCAGGAGCAGACGTCCGACGACACCACGGTGATGCTGAACGGCTTCGGCACTGTGGTAAACTCCCTCGGCCCTCGCTAGGATCCAAGTCTTCCGAGCTCCTCGCGATTCCCCCAAAACATGGGTGGCTGGCAAAATTATGGTCCCTTTTGGGGTACCCTAAGTATTAGGTGTCGTATTATAATAGGGATCCATAAGGGGACCATCATTTTGACAACCACCCGCATGCAGAATAATGGACGCATTGACTGTTTCTTAGGGTTTTGGGCTATTCTTTTAGATACTGTTGGTGTCCATGTAGAGGATGGGCCCCGATGTGTAGGTTCCATCCAGAATATGAGTGCCTAGAGGTTTCCAATTTTTTTTGGGGAGCATAGCGTTTCCAGGTTCCAAATCCTAAGCCAGCATGTTGCCAGCTGGGCAATTCCAAGAACATGGGTCCCCCATGATCCACCAAAGAGGAGAACCCTAGGCCCAAAAATCCTGACCTACTAATCTTTCGGAACCTTTCCCATCACTAGGTTGCTGTTAAGCTTTAGCTTGAGTTACCAGAATATGGGTATCCAGTAAATAATAGGGTTTCCTTATTATAGAAATTTACTTTAAGCTCCCTGACAGCAACCCAGATATGTTCGAAACCCTAAGCCCTAAATCACCTGAGGTGTGAAGCCGTACCTGCCACAGATTGCCGGTATCATCCGGTGGAAGCCTCAGGGGTTCAGCGTCTAGGTTTAGGGTTCAGGGTCTAGGGGCTCAGCATCTATGGAGGGTCTAGGCTTTATATACAGGGCTTATGATTTGAGAGTTGTGGCCTAGGTTTTGGGATATGGGATTTAGGGTCTAAAGCTTGGGGCTAAGAGTTTGAGTTTGAGGGTCTACAGAGATTAGACCCTAAACCCTAAACCCTGATCTAGGACATAGGCTTTAGAGGAGCTTGACCTGCATGGTGTAAAGCTTGCGCTTCAATGTTGACCTAGACCCCTATACCCTACCCCTTTTTAGGATACCAAACTTTATGCTTAGTATGTTCTATATACAACATTAGGTGCCCTAAGAAAGGGGTAAGGTATAGAGGTCTAGGTAGAGTCTGGGTTTAAGAGTTCAGGAGTTGGGTTACGTTGATTGACACTGGGCTACAAGTGGTAGGTTGGAATTTCCCTAAACCTTACTGAAACCCTGAAAAGCGTCCCAGGGAGACTACTTGTCCTTTTCAAAGCTCGGGGCAAGGAGTGTTCCGTGTTAGTGTTGCGGATAGTAGCTCGCATGGTGCCTTACCCTAAAGCCCCCAAACCCTAAACCCTAAACCCTAAACCGTAGCTCTGAGGAGGCAGGGTTTTGTGGAACAATTTAGTTCAAGGTTGACGTGTGGGTTTATGGGTTTGGGAATTTTAGGGTGCAGATTGTTGGGCGTGGGCTGGCGCTTTAGGAAGTTTAGGCTATAGGGTATAACTAACGTTTATCTGTGTTCTTTATAGGAAGTTTAGGCTGCGGAGCATTGGGTATAAAAAGTATGGTATTGTTTAGAGGAAGTTTAGGCTATGCAGCATAAGGTTTAATACTTCATGGTTCTAGGATATGGATAAACAGGCTAGGTGGCCAAGTGGCGATCGAAGGGGCCTACCCACATTGCCCTGCGCAATCGCGAGCGCAGGAATGAAGGAACTAGGTATTTAAAAGCCAAAGCTGAAAAACGGAGAAGGTTCGAGAATGTTCTAGATCACTCTACAAGGCGGTTTCCCAGAATTAGGAGTATCTTTTTGGGGGGTCATAGGGGTTTAGGTTGGGCGCTGCCCTCACAACTCACTCTAACAGTTGGATAATATTAAAGGTATGCGTACATATGTCCCTCAATATTTCCCTTATCATAGACTGATACAGGGTGGGGGCAGTACCCAAGGTTTAGGGTTCAGGCTTGCTTCAGCAACTCTCATACCCGAACCTTCAACAAGCCAACAGCAACGGCTGGGCTGCTGTTAGGACATGTCCAAGAACATGGGTACACAGTAAACCATCGGCTTTCTTTACTATTTAATTCTTTATAAGCAGCCGAGAAAAGTCAGCATGTCACGTCCAAAGTCAACAAAGGAGTGGAGTGTGCTTCAGGACATGGATTGACAAAATCAAGCTGCTGTTGAATGTCCGGCTGTTTGCGTAGTCACGCATGGAGGGGTACCACCTCGCGGCGGCTACGGCACAGCTGCACAGCAAGCCAAAAGCCCAAGAAGAAGGACCTCGCATGAACCCTGTTTTCGACCATCTGCCTCCCCCAAACGGCGTACCATTAGGCCTTGGGGCCATGGCCCAAGCTCTTAATGATTGCATCTTTGAGTACCTTAAGCTCTTGCGCCCACTAAAGCTTGAATCCGCAAGCCACAAGCCGCAGCTCTCCCCATTTTTTCCCGAGCTGGAGCAATCCTCTTCTAACAGACTTGTATCAAGCTTCTGATCGGCATGCTGATGCTCTTCCCCGTGTAGTTGGAAAATATTCTAAGTCTATTCTTGAGCATGGCCATATCCAACAACCAGTCCCCAAAACCTTAACCATTGGCTGCACAGTCCCCGCAGAAGCAAGGAACCCAAAAGGGCGCTGTACCTGTAAAGTGGGGCGGCGTGGCATTCGACGTTTGAGTAGTATTCTAAACTCCTTACATGGGCTCATATAGGAGATGATATAGGGGAGTATTATGGGGCTTATAAAGAGGAATATTAGGAGTTTAGACAATGGCTGATTTGGTTTGGGCCGGCAAAACCACAAAAACTCTAACCCGAACGGAACGCTGAAAAGACCCCGTGAATCCTTGAACTTCGGCCCAAATCTGAAGGCCCAAACCTGAATCCCAAGCTTCAAACCCAGGGTTCAGGGTTTTAGGGAAACTTTCTACCGCAACTCTTAGCTCCGGATTCCTAACCTCCCCAAAACCTCGAAGCCCAGAGTTCCTTTTGACAGGTGGCGCCTCAACACGCCTTCGGCTCGCGTGCGTTGTGGTCTTAGTTTAGGTTTAGGGGTTTGAGGGCAGGGGGTGCAGGTTTGAGGATGGGTATGCAGGGTTTGGCTAGGCCTCCCAAATACCTGCAACATCCTGCAACATTGCCTATTTGGGGGACAGGGGGTCGAGGAGAGTTCCAGAATTGTTGTTGGCAGATAGAAGGTATACATAATCATAGAATCTTACACCACCCCCACCTGAACACCCTTACCTCCAAGTATGGGGGTTCCCTAAACCCCAAACCCTAAACCCCTTGATAGGAAATCAGAACTCCCAACTAAGACTAAGGGAGATTATCTAGGGCTTGTTTGGGCCTCTTTTTTTTAGGTGGGGATGGTATAGGATCCTATGATATATGCCTCATACAACCTGAGGAGGGCCTTGGGTAGAAGACTCAGGGCTTGAGTTTCAGGGTTAGGGTTTGGGGTTTAGGGTTTAGGGTTTAGGGTTTAGGGTTTAGGGGCTAGGGTTTAGGGTTTAGGTGCTTAGGGTTTAGGGTTTAGGGGTTTAGGGTTTAGGGTTTGGGTGGCCTTTGTTGTTTGAGGGCTTACTGTAGGGTTTAGGGGGGCTGCAGTGCTTGGGGGCCGTGTTCCGAGTTCAGAGTTTAGGCTTTGCCGTGCGGTACATTGATGTGGGAATCTCTTCTCCACGGCCAACTTCCGACCTTTTCAGATATCTTTAACTTCAGCAAGCCACTGTATGAGGAGCAGGCTCCAAAATTCTGGGCCACTCACAACTCTAAGACTTCTACGCTTGGCTATACTGGGCTGTATATGGGTGCCCTAAACCCTAAGCCCCGAAGCCCTATTTCTAGAAATGACCCTAGGCGTGTCGCCTTCATTCATGCTGCATCGGAGACGTTTCTTATCAGTAGGTGCCCTGGCCTCAAAGCATAAAACACAACTATCAACCCCAAACTTACGCCATAAAACTGAACCTCAACACCCCCTGCACCTGGCACACTGCACGCTGAACCATAACCCACTGACCCTAGACCCCTAAGCCCTGCACCCTTTCAATCCTAAGCCTCAATCCATTTGCTTGAGGTCAGCAGGCGGCAGACCTGATCGCACGAATTGCAGTGGTCATGAAGCAGTGCGGCGAGGACCCCGAATTGGGGCATCAAACGCGCGAGCTTTGTGTGGAAAACATAGACAGTCCACAGGGTGGGCTTAGCTTGGGATCTGCGACTAGGCTTAGACCTCCGCATTTGGTAGTTTCCCAAAATAGGGGGACCCCAATACATTAGAATCTTCATTATAGGGCCCTCAAAGAGGTACCCCGAATGTTGGAAACCCTAAACCCGAATTCCGAAAGCCTAAACCCTAATCCCGAAACCCTAAACTCAAATCCCTAAACCCTATA